CCTGCAATGTCCTGAACAGTTCTGCAATTTGTATCCCGTGCGAACCTGCTTTTCGAACGCTACACTGCCTACGACAGCACTGGTACTGTGGCAATTGCAAAGACATTTTATAGACACAAGCGTTTTCTGCATGTTGCTCAGCTTTGCGGATACGACCAAGTAAGTCGCTGACTGAGACCTTACAATGGATGGCTGCAGTTCCCCTATGAAACTAGGGGCGTGCTCCCCCTATTTGATTTGTTCTCGGCGATGGCATGTTTGGAAGCCGCTCCCTGGCCTTCTTTGCTTCCCCATTGCCATCACTGGCCCCCCTTCAAAGGGGGGTTGTGTCTGCATTTGACTTTGGTTTGTAATCGCAGCTGACAGTCAAGAGGATGACTATCACGTCCATGAAGGCCCATGACGAGCTGACCTGAGAGGACTCTGAGAGAGATTTCATAGCAGTTCTGCTTTCGTGTACAGCTTGTCTCACGCTAGGGTTAAATTCCGAGCTAGAGCCTTCATGTCTGCCTGGGCAGCTGCGATACATAATTCATTTTTTGCATGCTTTTGATAGTGATGCAGTGGATTTGCCACTGCGTCCGATTGCAAATCGATTTGGTGGGTGTTTTTGTTTGGGCTCTGGCCCCGTTTTTTGTGTTTTGGTTTGTTTTCGGCTGTTTGCTTCGCTGTTTCCTCTGGCGAAACGCAAGTCTGGCTGGGGGATTTGCGGGTCGTCGTTTTTGGTGTGGTGGTGTTTTTCGTCTTGTTGTTTTATCGATTTGCTTATTCCGAGGACTTTTTTGTCCTTGTACAGAGTTTTGCCTGCTTACTCACAGGTAAGGACCGAGCCATTAGTGCGACATCGGCCACACTCGAGGAAAAAAAAAATCATTCATCAGGTGCCCACAGTTTGGAACTACAGTGATGTTGGAACGAAAAGTTTACCTCGTCTCCAGGTTACTGTTCTTGCTCTGTGGAATTGGAATGGTTGAAGCCGAGACAGCTAAGCCAATTGGACTGGAAGAATACAACACAGTTTCAGAGCAGGACACAAATCGCAGAGAAGTCAGCAATGGCAAAGACTTTGAAACGAATCACATTGCTCATGTCTGCACAGGGCTTTGGGCCTTCGGCCGCAGAAGCAGTTGGGACATACAACATGCAGCAGTGTCCCAGCGGCAGCAACAATGAGGCGGTCGAGCGCTACGAAGGTTTCTGGATGTGGATTGCAATTTTCGCCTTGCTGGTTTTATGGTTTCTTTCTGCATACATGGCATGTTTTGCATGGAAGAAGTTACAAGGCAACATGAATGAGTACGTTGAAAGGTTGGACAAGGCAGAATGGGACATATACCATTGCTGGAATCAGGTTGCGGATGAGGACAACTACATTGCACAGCAGTCTGGAAGGATTGATGGAATCGATAATCAATTGATGATGCTTGATGGTCGCCTTACAGAGGCAAGCAATGAGGCGTCAATGAATCATGACTACACGGTCAGATTGCACTATTCAATTGTAGAATTTGGTGGATTCTTACGTTTTCCTTTTGGAGTGGAGCCAGACCAACTGGTATCGATGTGTGTCCAGGAACGAGCCAACTTGGTTGCTCACAATGCAATGTGTTCAGGACAGTATCTGAATCTTGTGAGACTGCGTGCATTTGTGGAAGGTGGAGAAACTACAGATGTGGTGATGGAAAGGAATCAAAATATGGGAGAGACAGCAGAAAGTGAAGAACTGAGTGACGATGAACTCACACCTGCAAGAGCACTAGAAAACCCAAGCGTGACAACTTTGATGGAAGAGTTGAAGATAGAGCATCGACTTGCATTGCAAAGGGAGAAAATCGAGATGCCAGTCGCATTCAGTTTCTGATGATGCAGATGTTGGAACACATTAGAAGCGGCGTCACAGAAGCAATGGATTGCAGACTTATTCTTGCAGCTGGCAGATCGTGCACGAAATCAAAGCCGACTACAGTCTTTTTATACCACGGAAGGCGTGAAGCGCATTTTGGTGGAGAAACATGAAACTCAATGATGCAGCAAAAAAAAATATTTGGAAATGGATAGACAACGAATTTGCTAGATATATTCAATGGAGATTTTCTACACATTGTTGTGCGGTGTTGAGCGCTGGAAAAGACTGCGTGCCACCGAGGAGGAGTGCGAAACAATTTGGATAGCACTCTGCACAAGGATGACAGCACAAATCATGATGAGAAGTGTAACAGGTTTCATTCCATTTGCGTGGGAAACTCATGCATTCCTCGTGAGGCCCATTGTGGTTCGAAAAAAATGCGTCCCCGCCTCCCGCTCACAAAAACGCATGAACATGCGAAATAGACAAAGGACACCTGCCAAAGCAATCAAGAACAAGCAGGCAACCATTCCACTGCAAATTGCGACCCTGGATCACCAAACGCAATGGCACAACGCACTGATTCATTTCATTGACTTACCTAGAACTCTTTTTGAAATTGGGGGACACGTCCAAATGCAGACAAACACTACACCGTCGCACAGACCAGAGTCCGGACATCGATGCCAGGACGTGCTGTGTGTTAAAAAATGGAAACTTTTGTGCAAATGTCACCTTGACCAAAAAATCGTTTGCGTTGAGCAAACACGGGCAAACCACAATGGAACCGCGGCAGCCACCATGGAAGCAACCATTCCATTTTGCAACCCAGGATCGCCAAACAAAATTGCACATCGCAGTCACGCATCTCATTGACCCATTTAGAATTCAAATTTAGAGTTAAGAAAACGCGTCCGTGCGCAGACCAGCGCAGACGAGTGCAGGCCGCGCCCGTCGCTCAAATCAGGTTTCCCAACCCATGCCCGAGATGCATTGCGTGCGAAACAAAAATTGCGCGATTGCATTGACGAAACAACTCGACTGCGTTGAAGAATCGCTGCCTTGCAAATCGCAGTGGATATGCGCGCGCTGCGCCCACCACCCTGCAGCAGTCTGCCGTCTGCCTTTCTGTGTTCCTTCACTTCTCTGCTGTGTGCATTTCTGCGCTGTTTCACTGCTCATGTGCCTCATTCCTCTTCTTTCTTCAGTTTTCTACCATTTCATTTCCCTCCAGTTTTCAGTTTTCTGCCTTTTCAGTTGTGTTTTGTTTTTTGTTCCTTGTCCTTCCACAACTTTTCCGTTTTGCGTGTCCCTGCCCTTTCACTTCCTTTAGTTGTCTTTCTGTCTTCATTCCTCTGCTGTTTTTACTTTTCCTCTGTTTTTACTTCTCTTCTGTAACTTTTCTTCTGTCTTCATTTCTCTTCTGCCTGCACGTTTTTGCTGTCTTCACTTCTGAGTCTTCAACCACTTTCAAAAATTCCCCAATGCGGAAGTTTCATTTCAAAATTTTCTTTGGTATTTCCCCCACCTCACATCCTTCATGGTGCCTGTAATCAATTGTGGTCTTCCACCGAGTTGCTGGCGAGGCTCTAGGTAGTTGCGGTGGTTCACGTCCGTCATGCTCTTCCAGTAGGTACATGGGAGGAAACGCCTTGCAGTAGGCACAAGTCCATGCACATTGTCCATGTAATCATGCAAAATCACTTGGGACAACTTTGTTTGGATTGATTGAAACCAAAAAGACCGCAGGATGAGCAATGAGAGATGGAATTACATCACATTGTCAGCAAATTTCATCCCTTGAGGCTTGCGATTTTTGCTCCGTGACTTTATGCATTTTTTGACGTCCATGAAATATACGGACAGGTTTTGAATTAGCCCAGACACGCCCAGACCAAAACTAGTTTGTGTTCCTATGGGGAGACAACGTAAATACCCTTTGTCTGAAACTATGCAGCATCTGCGGCAGTAGGATTTGCGCAAATGAAATTTGATTCCAGCCGTGAATTGACTGTTGAAGTGGTTTGGACATCCATTTTGTTAACAAAATTAACTGTTGCAAAATTGAACTATCAAGTCCTTGCAGATTGAACATTGTTTCCAAGATGATCATTTTCCTAAAAGGGGCCTCAACCTTCTGTTCATGTGTTTCCCAGCCAAAGGAGGCTAATTACAATGACAGACACTTGTTAATTCTATGGAAGCCCCTTGGTAGACTTGCTGCAAGTGATGTACGCTTGCCGGTGCATGTTGGTTTTGTGGGTGTGAGAATTTGAATTGTGGCTCAACAGTCTAAATTGAACACCAAACTGTAAACATTTTACGCAACCTGGGGAACATTTGAATCCCGACAAGATGAATGGCATGAACATCCAATGCATATTTGCTTCATTACAACCTTGGTTTCAATCAATTCTCATGCAATTTATGTAATGTAGTGTTTCAGATGGCCTTATCAATCGGGCATGCTTGGCCACAGAGGTGCCTCATTGATTTGGCTTTGTGTGGGAAAACACCGATTGCCATGGTGAATCATCGTTTGTTTCAGTAAGAATTGCACAGTGTTTTTTTTTCTGGTTACAGTGCATTTAGATGGATTTAGATGGATTTAGATATTGCTATAATACCGAATAGATCCGAATAGTACCCCCCCATTCAAAAGACCCCCCCCTGGGATACCGTTTGGCCATGGCCTCAGGCCCTCGGCGGCTTGTCCCACCACCGCCTCCACCGGCACCGGATGTTTGGTGGGAACCCATCCCACCACCAGAGGTGTGTTGAACAATGGGGAAAAAAACCGGGAAGTGAAATTTGGATGTCCATTGACAAATTGAATTGAAACTTTAGTTTATTTTCAATCCGCAGGTTGGTGATGAACCCAAAAGAGGTGGCTATGCCCTGTTGTCTGGGGCAATGTTCAAACCTCAGGAGTGTTGGCCGGGTTGTTTTCCCCGTAGTTTGTTGTGATTTGAATAGGATGACATGTTCAGCGCTTGAAGTCTGGAGATGAAGTTATGGTGTGCAAAGATGTGCAAGTTTCAAGCAAACTTGCAAACACAACCAATGCAATACTGAGAGTCTTGTATTTGCATTTTGCCCGTCTCAGGCTGCGCAGTCTCAGTTAGATAATCCATCGTAGCTTTTGAAGCCGGCCATGCGGGGTCGTAATGTACTCTTGTTGATCCTGATTGCCATCGGATTGAGGATTTACCAGGTTTGGTGGACCTGGAAAGCCGTCTCAGATGATGATTATTACAGCCTGGGATGGCGCGATGTTGGAGCAACCACGACCATTTACGTTATTGAAAACGATTTGGAAACATGCAGAACACAATTTCGGTTTTATTGCAAGTGGCTAGAAGGTGCGTGTAGAAACGAAAGGTTTACACAGAAGATGTCGACTGGAAGACACTACAAAAATGTGTTTTATTTTCACCAGGGTAATGTGGACACTGAGTTCACCAGCCTCCTCAACAACATTTCAACTGCCTGCAATACCGATTTTCGCAGCGTACAAGTTTTCACCAAGTACAACTGGTCTTTGTCCACTGTGGAAGGATCAAATGTTGTGGTTGCTAGTTGCGACGTAGATGGCCCCTTTTTGCCCAAATATTTTTTGGGTTTGGGCTATTCATTCTGGACCGATGCATATACATCAAAATTCCAGCACGGTGCTCGCTTCGTTGCAAACATGGTGAATTGTGAAGATGGCGAAACAAATCTGGTTCTACCGGTTGCAATACACAATTCTTTGCTGGATCAGTTCGACGGCCATCATGATATCCTAAGTGGTCGCAACTTGTCACTGTGGTTTAAGCGGAGGCAAATGTACAAATCGGAGTCTGACATTCAATGGGCATTTCTTGGTTTTCATGCAGAAGGTATGAATTGGAAAAGGCTTTCACAGGCGCGAGTTTCTATTTGTGAAATCCAGCGCCAGACTCAGAGCCGCAGTGGGGCTCCGCACCCTTGGGAAGGACTTTTCCTCGAAACCAAATTTGCAAAACAGCTCCCAACCAACTCTTTACGACTTTACAAGGATGTATCCCTGCGGCTCTTTGAAAAGAGTCGTGAGCCAGTGCCGATCGACAGAACTCTTGTTGTGGTGGCCTTCCAGGAGAAGACTGAAGAGTGCAAGTCGAACATGATTTATTTTTTGCAAGTTGCCGTGATTCCAGATGATCTTGCAAATGTGCCCCTGGACTATATCATTGTTGTAAGTGGGGACACAACACTTCACTTTCCGAAGCTGAAGAACTTGCGTCTCATGCATACGTCCAGCCCATGTTTTGATTTTGGCCTGTGGGGCATTGGTCTGAAGTCGCGGACCTTGGCCCATACCACTTTTATTCTCCTCAATCCAACTGTTCGAGGGCCTTTCTTGCCAGCTTGGTACACAGCCCATTGGTCTTCTTCATTTCTCTCCATGCTTGACAACAAAGTCAAATTGATTGGGGCGAGCATGAAGTGTCCAGAGAGCTCTGAGGGACCCTTGATTTATGTGCTTAGTGCAGCAATGGCACTGGACAAGATTGGATTACACATGGGATTGAAGGCTGGTGTTTTTGATTGTGCAGCACAGAGCGACATGCAAAACGAAGGACATTTTGTACAAGTACTCAGAAATGCTGGGTTGAGAGTGGAATTTCAATTAGAAACAGACTCAAAGAAAAGCTCAACATGGCAGGGGAATGGATGCCTTCCCGTTCCCGATGCATTTCATGACACAAATCCTTTCCATGGGTCAACTCCACATCCATTTGAACTCGTTTTCTACACCACCGGACAGAAGACGCAGACGCCATTCATGAACTTTTTGTCTGTCCAGACCTCTTTGTCAGTAGCACCCAAGCTTGTGGACTCCAATTTCATCGTCATGTTGAGCCACACTTCCTCATTGTTCGAAGAGTCTTCCCGCATCCTGGTGGAATTGGGCAGTATCATGGTGAAGAATGGCTTTGACGTGCGAGTCTTGGCTCCTGACCAGGGTCCTTTGCAAAAGGAACTTTCCGAGAGGCGTGTGGCAACAGGCCTTTTGGATTTGCATCCAAGATGGAAAGAAGATGGATTTGATTTGCTGGGATTGATTCTAAGAGTTTTTTGGGATCGTTTGCCAAGCACAGTGATTTGCAACACTCTCTGGTGGGCTCGTGCACTTGCTTTAATTCCACCAATACGGGCACGATCTCCTGCCTTTGTTCTTTTCGTACACGAAAATGAGATCATTGTGCCCAATTGGGCCGAAGATTCTTTCGCAGTATACAACAAAGACCGTAAACATGTTGTGCCAGGCCTGCTCAGTGTGAAATCACGGGATTCTTGGTATGGTGAGCCCGTGCCGGTGTTCGATGGCCAAGACCGTAAGACATTTCTGGCAAATATTGATTCTGTGGTTTTTCCAGCAGAAGCAAGCAGGAAACTGTGGCTAGACTCTGACTCTGGGAACTTTCAAGAAAACTTCAATGTATTCAACAATTTTTTGGATTTTTCTGATGTGCATCACAGAGCTGGTGTAGGCTTGCACAGTCGTTTGGACACGGCACATTCAGTCCAGATGCAACCTGGACAACAAGGAATTCTGCGCACAGTTCGAGCATCTGTCCGGAAGGAGTTTGGTTACTCTGAAAACGCCTTCGTAATGACAGTCACTGGTCCAATCTGTGCACGGAAGAATCAGCTCGCACTTCTGCAAGATGGTGTGCTGAGTTTACTCAATAGATATTTGTTTGATCAGTGGATGATTTTGGTGATTGGTAAGATGGATGAGTCTTCTTCAACAGAATATCTCAACAAATTTTTGAGCATGGCACAAACTGCTGGCTTGTCGAAGCACGTGCATGTGCTTCCATACAACCCAGCAGATCTGACGTACACAGCTGCAGCTGATTTGCATGTGAGCGTTTCGCGAATGGAGGTGAGTCCTCTAAACACCTTGGAGGCGAAGATGCTCGGCATTCCTGTGCTCATGACACCAGCAGGTGGATCAGCTGAGCAAATGATTGCCGACAAAATCGATGGCTATTTGCTTCTAGATTTTGAACAGCGCTCTTTGGAAGACGCATTGTGGAGAATATTTTCTCATAGAGATCCTTTGGCTGCCATGCACGATGCTTGGCTTTAACGAGTTCAATCCGGGCAAGTTGAAGGCTCATGAATCCAATTGAATTTCAGGATGGGCTTTCTTGCATTTTTTTCAGTCGACCCCAGCCATGCTAATTTCTTCATATTTCTTCACTATCTGGTTTTTAAATGTTTTGCATTCTCTTTACTTCTCCCACGGTTTTAATCATATTCATGGGATTTCATGGATAGTTCTCCTCGTTCGGTTTCAACTGTGAGGTTTATCTTTAGTCCGTGACCAAATGTTTGTCCTTTTGCTTCCCACTTCCTAGATTTGCTTCCAGAATCTTCCAGATATCTTTTGTCGCTTGAAGTCGTCCCCATCACTTGACCTGTTTGATCTAGTTTGAACGTGTTTAAATCCTGGTCGTCTGATGGTCTTTCGGATCTTACATCGTGTTGTCCCTCTGCGGTTCTGCTATTGCACTCATTGCACTCATTTCACTGTCTCTTGTGGGGCTCGACCCGGGATGCCGAGCCACCGACTGAGTGTTGTTTTTCTTTGATTTTATATGATTTTGATTATAGAACTAGAACCATACATTTGTGATGCAGACAACAGCTTGTCGTGATAGATTGCTGACTTTTTTTCTTTTTAGGTTTTGGTTTGCTTGTCAGGGACAATATGATTGAAATGAAAGCTGGCAGAATTGCAATATCGAGTGCAAACACCTATGTTCAGGCCTCACTGACTCCTCTGGTGAACAGAGTTGCTGCATATGTTTTTTTCTTTTTTTTTTAAAATATTTTTATTTTTAAACGAAGTGGAACATGTCCAAAGACAATATATTATATACATGGTTACAGACTTTGGGCCACCCATCAAACGTGACCCAATGACAATTAGCAACTTTTTTATTTGTCGAACCCATAGTAATTCTGATAATATATATATATATACGTATATATATATATATCTACACATATTATACATAATATGATATAATATACATATTAATATGATATAATTTATACATATTATACATAATATGATTATATATATATACACATAATAATTATACTACTTCTAATAATTATTATTGATATTAATATCATTCTTATCAATAAGAAGCATATATATATATAAATAATATCAATATCATATGTAGTGTGCTTTCCAAGCTCCATTGAGGAAGTTGGATTGGCCGGTCAAGCGGTTGCCCTCGCAATGTTTACAAGTGAAACAGCAGAGCCTCGATTGACGCTTTTGACGAGTAATATTGTAACAGATGTGGCTAAAAGCACTTCAAATCCATCAAACTCTTTGGTGGGGATCATGGTGCAACTTGATGATTCAGAGTCTTGGGTCAAGACCCAAAGCTGTCTGCGAAAGACTCTGGACCTGATATTTCAAGCCTCTGGACGAGCAAACGTCTACATCACTACTTCTTTTCAATGGAAAAATCATGCAAAGGCAACACAAACTTTGTATAAACATGCTGCCTTACAGCATTTGTTGGTGTGGAGATCATACACAAGATCCAGTGAAGGGCGTTTCTTGCAGCAATTGCTCCTCACAAGACAGATGCGATTGAGCCACGACCTTTTGTTCAGATTTTCTTCTGATGCTCGGTGAATTTCAGCTAATTTGGCCGTTTGGCTTGTGAAGGCTTATTTTCACAGGTTTGTTCAAAAGTGGTGCTTTGGGCAGGCCTTTCTCTATTCTTAAAGCCAAACAGTGTTGGTGGTTTAACCAGGCATGTGGTCAATTCGCCTAAGCACAAAAGACCACCTCCATCATATTTCTGTGATGAAAAACTCAGTTTTAGGAGTCGCTTGACCTGGATTCTGGCACGACAAATTCGCTGTGCGCTGCCCTTAGAATGGTTGTTTGGAATTGAAGTGCTGACGTGTGGGGAGCAGCAAGTCTTCACATGATTCCAGGAGAAACAGGAATACTCTCAAAATTTGTTTCAGGTTTTTGGAGGATAGTTTGTACTCAGCGGAACCTGTCAACAGATCATGTGCAGACCCACTTGAACCTCACGTGTCTACATGCTGAGGTGGCACCATGGGGAAAGGCCAATCCATTCTCCAGATGTTCCGGGATCGATCTGACGTTGGAATGCTGGGAAGATCTCTGCCAGATGGCAAGCGTTCTGCATCCGCTGATCGGGAAGTCAAGGAAGTCTGGAAGCTTCTTGAGATGACTTCGAAAGTCAATTCTGCAACTTTGTCAACCTTTGATGCGAGTGCTTATTGGGCGCGAGGCAATCTGTCAGTTTGGAGTAGCCTCGTGAAGTTTTCACCCCGGCTCTTGGCCAATATGGGTCAAGTGAATGTTGGATGCCAAAATAAGAGGTGCGATTTGGATGTTGGATTGAAACAAGTCGTACCAACTCTGGCCGCTATGACTACAAAGGTGATTTCACCTCTGAAGAAGTAAGGCGCAAATATGACTTCGAGAAGTAAACTGGTGGTGCGTCCACTTTCAAGAAAGGGTGCTGTGATGGCCACACCAAGCCAAGCAACGCAAAGACAGTTGGACCGAAAGCTCTCCAGAAATGGGCGAGGTGGTGTTTTCATGCCGTGCACTTGGCCATTCATGGTATGTCCTCTGCTGATCAATATCTCGAAGTTGCTGAGGTCTTACCGGACCAGTATATATATTTTGCGTAGGAAACTATGATTTATGTGAGCTTGGACGCCGCCGTCGATTAGAAATTGGGTGCTTCTTGCAGCTGGTTCCTGTTCTTTTGATCACTGGTTGCCGGGAGTCAGGGTCCCTTCACGTCACTGGCTTCTATTATGAAAAAATGTCGTCCTGAGGTGTGTTATTTTGCTTTGTGCACTTTTCCCGGGATCCTGAGTAGCTATCCTTGAGTCAACTTGCAACTCTGGTATTGTTGGGGTTGTACTGCTGTCAGATGCTGTCAGACTTCAGTGCTTTGGGCTTTTGGTTTCTATCTAAGCAAGGCCGCGCCAACCAAGTCCAGGCCGGGACGGGCAGCCTTCAGCGACAGACCCAAAGTTGTCGCAGCCACCTTCGTTACTAGGAGGCTTATCCAGGTTCAAAGAAAAGCCAGTAGTTTCCTGGATTCCTCGCATGCTTGTCTATGCTTCCCAGGTTGCCAAGATCATGACATTTTGCACTACTGCCTTCAAGACACAAGAGTAGCTTGAATATGGAACAATCACAGTGGAGGCAGTGATGTTCGGACTTCGAGCGTCTTGAGGCTTTGAGTTGGAGGGGTCGATTTGTTTCAAAGTGGTGCTCATGATTGCTTGCTTTTCTGGCTGTCTTGCACTTGACGTACATGATGACATGCGGATCCTTCCTTTTTTTGGTCACATGGGGGGACTGGACTTTGCAAAGAACTGCCTCCCTTATCTGCTTCTTGAGCAGTTGTTTCTTGCACGATTCACGCCTGCTGTCCGCATCGGTGCTCCTGTAGCTTGTGAGGCAAAGCACAAGCTGCGCTGCCATTCCCAAAGCTGGTGCTTTGGAACCAGCTGTATTGCTTCCAGGCTGGGCTGGGCCAGGATTGTCAGGAGCTGCACCATTCTGCACCTTTATGAAGCACTTGCCTTTGACATCCTTTGACTGCCTTGATTGGAGTCGTAGCTGGGCCACAAGTGGTTGTGCTCAGGGTCCCAAGGGACGCTGCCACTGGGAAGCCCCATGCTCTCGCAGAGATCTTAGAACAGGGTGGGGTAAGTAGCATTTTGAGCTTTGCTTGGAAGCAGGGGTTGGAGTTGTGCCTCCAGACCATGTAACGGCACACATACAAACTATCTCCAGCCTAGACTATTCCAAAGAACTTCCATTTCAGTCCTGACGGTATGGTATGGATCCGTATAGCTCGCAGCTTTGGCTCCAAACGATTCTTCGTGTGGGTGGCGCTTCGTAACTTCAAAAGCTGAAATCTGCACAACCATCCCGTAGGTGCGATGTTCCACCTTTTTGATCTTTCGAAACCCTCTCTTGAACTTTCATTGCTGTGCCGAATAGAATGTTAGGGCATGTCAAGTAAGAGATATTGGCAGATACTGAATGCAAGGGGATGGCGGCGTTGAAAGACAGGCTATGAGTGTGTGGAGTTCAAGCCATGTCGGACTTCCGAATGCTTCCGACCCATTTGGAGCATTTGTCTGCTACAGCAGAAGGAGATTGGTCTTTTGCCATGATGTCTGCGGCTACCGCAATTCCATCCAAGATGGCAAGAGAACGGTATGGGCAGGCGGACAGGACATATGTTTTCCATATTTCTCCTGACTCTCGTGCTATTTTGCAGACATGATGTGCGCAGCACTTGCAGTTACCACCACACAATTCCAGAATGCGATTCCCACAAAGAGCAGCTTCCACCATTGCCGCAAGAACTTAGCGACTTAGAGGATGCTCTGGGAATACTTTTCGGAACCAATTTTGTGCATCCTGCCGGCCAGGTCACCTCAGATGTGCGTTCTGCGCATTTCAAGGATGGCCGCGGAGGTTGTTGAAACAAAAATTGCATGAAATTGATGTGTCAGTCTCCGATCCAGTCTCCTCCTTTCGAAGCAGTTAAGACCAGGTTGCTATCTGTGAGCAAACTCTTTGAGTTTTTTTCCAGACCGTACAAGTCTGGCCCAAACGCTGTCAGGAAATCAGTGAGGTGACGTGCAAGCATTCGCTCCTTTTCCAAGAGACAGAAGAGAAACTGCTTCTACTGGAGCCTCAGAGTTAAATAGGGGATGAAGGCTGCGTGCGAGGGCTATGCAGGAACAGGCATGTTGATACTCATCATCGGTATTTTTTTGATTAATGTTTGTTTTGCTCCAAGGAGCACCAAGTCCATTCTGCTCTTCTGGCCATGGAGCAGAAGTTTGCACACCATGAAGCGCAACTTCAAGGCCTGGAAGTTCGCTTGGAGCGGCTGGAGGGACAACTTCGTGTCCAAAGTGTGGCTTCAAAGTCGGCACCTGGAAGCCCTCAGAGCATCGCTGTAGCATGCTTGAAAGAAGCTGGAGTGCATCAGTGACATCAGTGTCTTTTCAGTTTTTTTTACAACATTCATAATGTATGATATTAATTGATATTAATTGATATTATTGATTAATTCAGCAGCAACAGCATGTCTTTGCTTTTGGGACCTTTTTTGTCCTCTTGGTGTAATCATAGAACACCAGCTGGGACATGGAAACTGCCATAAACTGCCTGTGGGGCGCAAGGAACTGCAGAATGAAAGTGCGGAGACGCCTGGAGCCAAAGTTGCCAAGGGCGGCATACCGGTGAAACTGCCAGACTCTGAAGGGTTTGGCTCTCTGGTGTTTCGGCGCGGTTCAAGATCAAAAGAATCAGAATGTTTGCAGTTTTTTCCTATTCTGGTGTGGGTCTAACTTCCAGCGGTTGGCAACTGCTAGGTCGAGGCAAGATCTTGTTTGATCAAGCTGAGCATTAGACTCTACTTCCCTAGTGTCCAGTTCCCCTTCCTTTGACTTTGAGAGAACAGGATCAGCCAACATGGCCACAGATTTACTTCCGACCAAGGCTGCTACGTCTCTGGAAAAGATGCAGATATCATCCGTTCAGCAAGAGGATCTTCAGTCTTTGCGTTCAAAGGTCAACGATTCTTTCAGGAGACCGGCAGCAGGTTTCTTTCATATTCTTTTGTAATTGTGTGGTTAATTGAAGTCAAAACACTTTCTGAAGTTTGTGGCATGTTGTGGCTATACTTAGCTAAGGAGATCTGCGACAAGATCCACTTGCAGAGTGACGCCGCGTCGGACGAGAGACTTTTGCTGGAGGATGTTCAGAAGATCTTGGTGCGGCTGGGCAGCGTGGAAGCTCAAGTGTCCTCCTGCAGGCAGATGTTTGAGACTTCCAAGGCACAAGAGCAGCAGAATTTGGACCGAAACTCGGCAGTTGCTGAGATTTCCTGGATTTTTCAAACCTAAACTCAACCTTAAAAGCCAGAGATACAATGCACCCAAAGGGCAAGCCCGTGACATGTTGTGTTGAAAGGTACCTTGCATTGAAAATGAGACACGTTGTAATACCGCGTGTTTCCAGGGTGCACATTGCAATCCATTCCAGTGCTGAATTCCTCTTCACCTGGGCTTCTTGGTGTGTTGCTGGACATGGTGAAGTCAATGTGGCAAGCTGCTGATGTTTTTGCATTGGTTACCACCGCAAACATTTTGCATGACTGGAATCAGTTTGCACTTCCCCGACTTCCCCAACTTCTTTCAATGGCATCTATGCATCTATCGATGCTTTGGCAAAAGGGTGACATGAACACTTCATGAACACCATTCTTGCCATGTCACCTGAGTCATCTATCCTAACCGAGGATACGGAAAACTGCGCAAGGAAAGCAGCTTGCTGGTTTCTCGTCTCGACATGCTGGAAGAGCATATCTCGCGAATGGAATCAGATCAAAGAAAGGATGTGGCCTTTAACGAAGCCAACTCAGAGCAAGGCCGTTCAACCCCTAAGACATGCCCTGCTTGCACATCGTATCATTGCTTCATATTGCTTCCAAAGCGTGAATGTTAACTTGTTGATATTCACGTCGCTTCGCGACGGCAACCGCCCGCACCGCATCGTTCGTAACTGCCAATGATGTCGGCCATTGAGACCAAAAACATCCGAAAGTACTGATTGTCGGAAAAAAACACGCGAAGAATTTGATAGCCATGTATAGCGGACCAACGCAGTTCAAAAAATAACGAAAAACATGAAAAAACGGCGAAATTGCTCTTATTTACAGTGTTTTTGCGCGGTGAGAAGCAGAAACCACTGCAAATACCATGGTTTTTGAGGGTCAGGTGGCCAAAAACACTGTAATTTACAGTGTTTTTTTAACCAACGTCAAAAAACACTGGTATTTACGATGTTTTCATTCACACCGTAACATAAAACAGCGTAATTTACGAGGTTTTTGGAAGTTTTGAAGCTAGCCGTCAAGCATGCAGAAAACAGAAAAACACTGTAAAAACCAGTGTTTCTGCTATCACAAAACGACGAAAATCAGTCCGAAAACGGGTCCAAAAACTCAAAAATCCGCCTCCGGGCCCGGCCACCTGCGGAACCGCAAAAAAAGATGTTGCAAACCAAAAAATTGAGGTCAAAAAGTTGAAAAACACGGGGTTTTTTCACTTTTCGCTTGCCGATTTTGGACGGGCGCGTTCACGAACAGGTGTCTTCCGTACTGTTTTTTACAGTGTTTTTTGAAGGCGAGCGTCACGACCTATCAAAAACAGGAGGTTTTGGCCGAAAAATGCCCCCCCCCCCCCAGGTAAACCTGTAACCTTTTACGAGTGCCATCCGGAAGATCACGCCCCAGCACCTTCGGTGCGGGCGGATTTGTTGAGTGGCAGGGCATGTTTGGGCATCCAGCGTTTCCTTGTCGATCGTCAGGTGATGCATATCGGTTTTTGGCGGCCTTGGAGCATCAACTCGTGAAGATGTCGAAAGACGTTGTGGCGAATGTTGCGCAAATGAAGCATTTGAAGACTCGTCTGGGAGGCTGTGAGCAGATGAGCAAAGAAGTTCCAACTCTGAGATATTCGATGGAGGAAGCTGTAAGATCTGCTGAAATCCGAGAAGCTGCTTTGTCTGAAAGGTTGGAGTCGGTGCAAAAGCTGGCAACATCCTTGTCTGGCAAAGTCTGTATGAATGAAGAACATGCCAAAGCGAAATTTCAGAAGCATTCCAATATGGAGGAAGATCTTCGAACGGTGTCTGCTCAACAGACAGCTCAAGTAGAAGTGCTGCGGAAAGAGTTGGTTCTGCAGGGTACCCATTGTAGTGAGCATTTTGCGGACCTACAGCATCGTGTCTCGGAGTGCAACAATCATGTGGGCAATTTGCAGCAGCTATTGGGGAGTTCTGATGCGTTGAAACGGTCAGTCTCTGCTATCTCAAGAAGAATGGCTGGGATCGATCTACAGATTTCCGAGAATAAGGAGCAGCTCTTGAAGAGTGACACAGAGTTTCGCCGAGAACAACACACTTTCCAGTGTACATTGCGAAAACACAGTGACCGTGTTGATGGTTTGGAGGACCGATTGGTCAGATGCGAGCGTTTGCTCAGGGGGCCAACATAGATTGCTGATGCCGGAGATTAAAGGAAGCGGGCTGTGGCTGTGGATTTGCAAGAGGTATAGATAGGTTAGGTTTTGAAAGAACTTGGACGTGGTGCCGTTTTCTTAAATGTAACTTACACCGAAGATTAGGTGGATTACATGTCCTCTTGAATCGCATATTGGATGGCTTGCGACAAGGTCTCCATGCCAAACATCATCAAGCTTTCAGTAGAAGAATTGAACAACTCCGACATGTTTACCTTACTAGCCAACGATCTGCATGCCAGGTGTCACACTCATCGAGAGATAGTGATGAGGTCCTTACTTGGCCTTGCGGAACTTATTAGAATTATACAGGCAGCATAATGGCAGCATCTTGTTCAGGCTTTGAAATGTTTCCAGACCGCCTGGCATTGCAGATAATCCCTTTACATAGGCCGCCATAGGCCCACAATCTCCAGCATTTGAGGCCCTGCCTTGGCATGCGGGTGGCCGTGCCTGAACGACCGCCGCACGCAGCGTGTCGGGCTTGGACAACATGTTCCGTTTGTTTGCCCTTGGCCCCTTTGGCCCTTGGATGGAGTCCACTGAATGATACCAGCCGTTTCCACCAATCAGCATTGCAGCATTGATCAACACTCTTGTCAGACTGAAAGAAACCCAATTCGTAGGGACATGCCGACATGCCTCTGTCTTTGCAAGACTTTCTCACTTTTCCTTTTCCTTAAATGACGCTCTTGGAGGCCTGTCATCGGCGCGTCGTTTGCAAAGGCTGAAGTTGCCTTGAGCAGTGTGTTCTTTGTCAAACTGGTCACCGTTAGATTCAATCTACAGACCTTGTGTTGACCGCTGTGATCAGCCTGGCAAATCCCTTTGTCATTGCTTTTCGTCAGAGGCTCCTCAGCCCCTCCCAGTGACCCCGTCGTGCTGGGGGGTGTCGCGACTGGCGAGCACGGCGCCGACGTTGGTAGCAGCCTCTCCTGTCAACTGCTATCGGCAACGTGGGCTGCCTTGTGGACTGACTGTGCCTGCTGGGCCTGCCGTGCCTGCTGGAGGCGTAATTTCCAAAGCCAATGTGAGTACTCCCTGTACGAAACCGGAGACAAGGAGTGGGCAGATTTGTTTGGATCGAGCCTCTAGTGTTTTGACATCTCAAAATCTAGTCTCGCAAAGTCAAAGTAGAATCCCATCAGAGCCAACCCGGAGGACAAGTGGCGACTCGAAGCAGACAGATGCGGCGGAACCCATCAAAGAATGGGCATATTTGTCAGATGAAGAAATGATGCTCTATGCCAAGCGCCAACTGGGAAGTTTGATCTCACACACTTTGCTGGCAAAGCTGAGCCGTCGCGAACTGGTAGCGTTGCTTTCGCGCGAGCGTCACGCAAGCAGCCCCCAGACTGTGGTTCGCTTAAAAGGTGGGGATCATGTCGGGCCATCAAAGAGGCATCATCATGAGGTATCTACATCTATCTACTCTCTTCGATGTAGCAAAACTACAAGAAGTCCAGGATTAAGAGCCGTGGCGAAGGCACCACCAAGCTCTTGACTCAAAAAATCATCTCAGCCCACATTCCTAAGTCATCCTAGGTCCTTTAAGGATCTTTAAGGATCTTTTTAAGGGTGTTCCAGGCTCCTTCCAGGCTCCTTCCAGGCTCCTTCCAGGCCATCCACTTGGATCATGTCGGATGGACGCACCAGGTGTTGGGAGCCCTCTGACGAGCGCCAGCGAGGCCAAGCTCGAGGACGCGGAAGAAGCTTTGGCCTTGGCCAAAGCGGAGGCGCCAATGGCTTGTTAGCTTTTCAATCGCTTGAAGTGATGGTTAGTATGTATATAGTTTTATATTTGTATGTATTTGTTGGTTATGTGAAGATATGTGAAGATTATATTCAAAACAAGTAAACTAGAATGGTGTAGAAATACCTTGAGTGCAGGGGAACAAAACAAACCAAACCATGAACAATACAGACTGTGGATCTGTGGAAATGGAAATTCTACTTTTGGACAAATCTCATGTGCTTGTGCCTGATTGAACCTCGTCAATTTTGTCGCAATACTTGGGAGGCTTTGGCACTCTTCTCTTTGCCTCGGAGATGTTCTCCCATCCTGAGCTTCCTGAGCTCTCCGAGCTCCGGCGTGTCCCGTGAGTTGCGAGACTGGGAGATGGAGCAGATGGAGCAGCCTGAGACATCGGAGACGATGGACCTAGCCGTTCCGCCACTTTCCCCTGACGAGGAACTTTCCTACCTCTTTGAAGTGTCACAGGTGTCACAGGTGTCACAGGTGCCGCAAAAGGTGCCACCCGCGCCAAAGCCGAGTCATCGGACTGTGGATACATCTCAAGCGGAGCGTCCATGCCATCCATGCACCTCTCCGAAGAGACCCGAATCTCGACAGTCTCCACTGTGCCTCGGCTGACGACCACAACAGAACGAGCCCGGCATAGCCCGGCATCATTATGTTTTCATTCTTGTTATTTCTTGTTTCTGATTGTTTAGGGCTTGAGGCTGAACTACCACGCTCCAATACCCCAGAAGGGATGATCCACTGTTTAACTTGCATGAAATGGCAACATCCAGGAACAAACTACATTCGCGAAATCCTCCTCAAGCCCCACAGCGGCTGCGAAGTGAGCAGACATTTGGGGGGAGGAAAATCCGCAAATCAAAGAATTTGGCCCCAGATCAACCATGTTGGTTTCTTGATCCCTCGCATTCGCAGGACGTTTTGATTCCTTTTGTGTTTCAAGCGCTACTGTAGTGTTTGAGATTTTCATGAAGTCCATGTTGATATTGCTCAAACGTTTGCTTATTTGCTTGTTTGTTTGGCTCCTTACAGTTACTTGATTGATTTGGAGATGGGAAAACTGCACTGTCACAGTCTGTGCTTTAAGTAGCCTTTACCCTGAAGCAACAGGACAAGCTCGGCATTTCCACAGCCTAGACTTGGTAGCATCGAAGATTCGAAACATTACCGAATGTGTTCCTTTCAGTTTAAGCGAAGCAGTTCAATGGAATATATTAGGTTCAATGCTTTAATCCTTTGGTGCCATGTTTTTGTATTGGCCCTACATATCCTGAGACATGCATCTAGGCCACAAAAAACCACAAAACGTATGCAGCAATTGCTCCTTCCCCAGATGGCCGCCTGAAGTGCAAAGGCAGGATTTCACATCGCCGTTGCAAGGGTGAAACTGTGCTGACTGTGCTGGGTTCCGAGTACTGTAATGTAAATTTGCGGAGCTGTGGCGGTTGACCTGCAGGTAGTCCAGGGGCTGGAATGCTGAGGACAGACCCGGTGCTCCAACCTTTAATCACACTCATAGCCACGTGTAGTTAGCTGAATCTTGAGAATTCCTAAAGCACAGCAAGGCATAAGATGCAGTGTCATTTGAGTCACGCGCGACGCGTTTGTTTGTGCTTCTTCCCAAAAGCTGCGTTATTTTGTTGGAACTTCCGTGATTTTCCACAACTTTTCCAGACCTTGCCCAACAGAAATTGGCAGGTCTCGATGCTTTCGGGTTTTGCCACTTCGAGGTCTTGCCCAGACCAAAAAGAAGGCACAGATCCACGGTTTTGGTGGTGACTAAGGGACGTGACTAAGGGGACTTCATGGGATTTCCTATGTGGGCTGTTCAAAGTCATCTTTTGGGCAGCAGTTGAAAGTCGAAAGTTCTTCTTGTCCATCCGGTCACGTGGTTTGATGGGTTGCAGCCACGGTGGACTCTCGCAACCAATCGAGGCAAAAGCGAAACAGCAAAAAAAACAAAGTGCGCCGCAGGGCCCTTGGCACTTCTTGGCACTTCTCATTTTCCATCACTTGTTTGAATTTGTGGGGTAGATTGTGGAAATTTATGGAATATGTGTAGGCAGGATGCTCATCTATGTGGGGACTGGTGGAAAAGACGCTTTTCTGAGTAATTTATTGAAAAACAGGCCCGTGGACAATTGTACCTGAAGTGTCTCATTGACAGCAGTCTTGCTCGAATTGACGCATACTTTGCGCGAACAGCAAAGCAGAGGAATGACACATGCTATGCATATTCCACCTAGAGTTGTGTTTGCAGCATGGCAACGGTTTTAGGCAGTGCTTTGCTCATCTTTGCTCCATGCATCTCCATGCCTTGCTGACGTCGACGATGCCAACGATGCCAACGTACCTGCACCGTACGGCCTTGAGTTCCAGCTGGCGCTTTTTACGGCAGGTGGAAGGGAACCCTTGGGAACCCTTCCTGTGGACATCGTGACATCTAATTTTCACAACCTTGGATTTCCGGCTGTAGCCAAATCAGACACATGCCTAATTCCTTGGATTCCTTAATTTGAGACATTTGAGGAGACCCTTTAAACATCTTTAAACATCTTTAAACATCTTTAAACATCTTTAAACATCTTCGCTGCAACCCTGACCTTGCGCCGCGTCTGACTTCAGGTGGCTATGAAGATAAAGTTTATGTTATTACCCCAATCAACATATTGTTCATGGGGGGTGGCAAATTTTGATCCCTTTTGAAGATAAAGTCAGATAAAGTGGATGTTATTACCCCAACCAACATATTGTTCATAGGGGGTGGCGAATGTTGATCCCTCATGGATATATATATATATTTATAGTTGATGTTATTACCCCAATCAAAATATTGTTCAGAGGGGGTGGCGAATTTTGACCCCTCGTGAAGATAAAGTTGATGTTATTACCCCAGTCAACATATTGTTCAGAGGGGGTGGCGAATTTTAATGTGATGATGATGACGATGATGACGATGATGATGTTGATGATGTTGATGATGATGATGATGATGATCTGATGATGATGTGATGATGATGATGACGACGACGATGATGATGATGATGATCATCATCATCATCATCATGATGATTGTAAGTGTGGAGCAACGTCTGGGTTGGGGCGAACATCTTTAGACATCAAACAGATCTCGTCGTCGTTAGAAACTTGCTGCAGGTCAGCAGTGAGACGCAGCCGCAGCTTGCATGGGTGCGAATCTCAGAGCGAAGTGGGCTGGCCCCAGCTGACCGGGGGATTACAACATGGGGGATGATATGGGGACGAAGGGATATCATATGATATATGAAACATGCGGGATGCTCCAAACTGGCAATTTTGATGGGGATAGAGCTGATGAATCCGGTTATTTTTTGAGGAAGTTTTTGGACAAACCCATATATGTGCCATCGCGTGCCATAGTCAAAACATGTTTGATTTTACCATGAAAGGGGATGGTCATCGCCCCATTTATAGGGGTTAATACCTTTTTATGAAAAGTCGCAATTGATGGTGGGATGACCATACCACATGTACCATGTCTTGCCCATGTACCATGTCTTGCCCATGGCACATACAAGAGAAAGCAAGTCCAATATTGTCAAGAATCAAGAAGCAAGACAAACCAGACAATCCCATCGGCTGCATTTGCCTTTGTGCGCCAAATTGTGCAATAGTTTGCGGTGAATGACACAGCGCCTACGGTGCCTGAAGCAGACAAGGGCCAGTCCGGCATTTCACAGCCGCAGGTACCGCCATCTGCGGAAGATCAAAGTCGCTCACGTGAACGTCATCCAAAAGGAATCGTGATGTTTATCCCATGAGTTGACCGTTTTTCAGCCAATGGGTTTGTGTTTATCTGAACTTATCCTCCCTTCCTGTCAGGAGCTGACCGTTCGAAACTTACGAACTCTCTGGTGTCTCTCTCGCACTAAGCGCAGCAAGTGTCTCTTGTTTTTGAAGGTGACATCTTTAGTCGAGGTTAGATATTCAAGAGGGATTGGTCCGGTTGATCTTGATTGGAACTTTTAAAAAATACAGACAACCCAACTTTCCCAACTTTTGACTTTGCTTGGTGGTATTGAAATACTGAAACTTTCTGAAACAACCAATTCTTTTCAGCATCGCTCATCCGAGGATGTGCGGCCTCCCATGACAGGGCCGACAGGGCGCTCCATGGGGCGCGTGCCTCGCATCACCAGGGAAGCAGAAGAGTTGGTAGCACAGCTGATGCCCACAGAGGATCCTTTTTTTCGGCTGATATTTAGATTTTAGACTGATTTTAGATGATTTTAGATGATTTAGAAGGTTCACAAGTTGAACAATTCCAATTTGTTTGAAACACATTCTTTGTTTTCTGGTGCGCCAGACTTGAGCAAAACATTGGCAGAAGAAACCATGCATCGTGCATGGTCAGCTTTGTCAGGAGCAGCTGCGGCATCGTGACGACACAGTGCAAGAACTGCGGCGCCATGTGCAGGCTGGAAGTTTCCTGTTGGAACCGCATTGAGCAGCATTCCATATTCCCTTCCCAAAAAATTGGTGCTCACCGGTTGTTGAAATCACACAACCTCCCCATTCAGGTGGCCATTCCTGGCTGCGATCTTGTGCCTTTTGGGTCTGCTGCTACAGGTGGGGCTTTCGGCTTTTGCTGTCGTTTTTGACCTCCAATTCAGCTTCTGAGCCGAACTGGGGCCTGGATGGGCCTGGATGGGCCTGGATGGGCCTGGATGGGCCTGGATGGGCCTGGATGGGCCTGGATGGGCCTGGATGGGCCTGGATGGGCCTGGATGGGCCTGGTGTATCCTGGTGTTTCTTTTTGGTGAACATTGGCAAATTTGTTGAGAAAGGTGCTGTGTCTTGAAATGCCATGCCTCGAGGTCTTTGGCTTCCAGACCGCGATGTCGATTTGAGCTTGCAGGTGCCATTTGGTACATCTCACTGGTCCTCGATTTGGAAGTCTTAACGGTCCACTGGTGATTTCTACAATAGACTTCAGCTTGTTGACCCACAATTCGAGTTCTATTGCTTGATAAAATCAAGTAATACATACCCATGTGCGGCCTTGTTCGTCTGGGCTTTGAAATGAGGAAACACAGGGGGTCATGTCTATTGGTTGCCAGGTTCCTGGCTTGCAAGGGCGGATTGAAACTAAGAAGGCGCTACATCGGGTTGCATCAACAATCTACTCGTGCCTTGGCAACGGCCCAAACACGCAACACTTTGAAGCATACGATGTTCTAATGTTCTTCATGTCGGTCGCATTTCCTAGTTTTACTTTTCTCTTTCGTGTCCAACATGGGGTCGTGAGAGTGTGCCTCTACTTTAGCAGATCAAGGAAGGGGGTGATTGCGGTTCATTTGTTCGTCACCTCAGTGAGCCTTATGGATGTGGATTGCTTATGTTTCGCACAAAGAATTCAAATTGACGTCCTCTTGTTCTACCGGTCTGGCTTTGATGATCCACCAGATATTCCATTAGTACGACGTTTTGTTAGGTAACCTTACACATTTTGTGAATGAGACTGCAGATCTTCAGAGAGTGAATCAAGATAGGATTCCTCTTGTAGAAGCATTGGATGACTTGAAATACGCAGCTTCGGGCCATTCAGCACTCTTGTGAGGTTTTCGGGCGAGAAGCCAGAAAACCGCTTGTCTGCAAAGATGCCATTGCTGAGATGGATTCCAGAGTATGCTTCTGGGAATGAAGAATCAAAGCAGATTGTATTTAGCTTCTCATTTTTTCCTTTTGCAGCTACCGGCTGCAAGCTTGTCTCCCAGCTGCGACTAAGCAAGTCTTCCCTATACTTTCACAATGGTCACTTGCCAAGGCGCTACACTGTTTTCGTGTTCATTCTTTTCTATCCACTTTGCTCAGGGTGTGTCACCTTCCTTTGACGTCACCGTCAACAACGATTTAGCGATCGAAAATTCAAGGCCTGCATGCAGCTGGGCAAGTGGATAGAACATGATAGAACAATGTCAATGTGCACCTCAGTGGTTCAGTTTAGGAAGACTAATTAGTTGGTGGTCCATCCCGCCATCCCGCCAGCAAAAGCGATATAGCCCAGCCATAACTGGACTGACCCTATTTTTTGTGTTTCTAAGACACAATAGCCTGATGATGAGGTAGGGGCAGTCTCTTGTTTTCTGGACTTTCCTTGGGCCGTGGATGTTTGGCAACTTTGTACCAACAGAATTCGGTTCTATCAAGATCCACTCAAAAAGTGCATGCCAGGGGCATTCCAGCTGTTCATGTGAGCATCAAAGTAATGTCAGGTATGATCTGTCGCTGGCAGTTGAGATATAGATCAAGTACGAACCTGCATCAGTGCGGTCTGGAAAATGATTTTAATGATCAACAGTTAAAACATCCTGAACATTAGTCAAGTAATGTATTGACAATTACTAGACTAGTACTTATAAGATCTAACAGGCGTGTACATTATAATATATAAAATCATAATCTGGGTACACACACACACACAGACACCTATGGTCCTATGGTCGCAGTGGAGTTCATCACAGGCTGGTGGCCGCCTACCTGTCAGCTGAGCCGCAGCTGAAACCGCTCGTGTTGGTGGTCAAGACCTGGGCATCTGCGCGGAAGATCAATGACCGGAGCAAAGGACCTGTTTTGTTTGATGATTTAGCCCAATGGTTTTATGACTTGGGCCTGAGGAAGAAATAAAACACCAAATTTGTGCGACGTATACCCTTCAGTTCCTAACCATGCAAGCGAGGGTTTCGCCAGCAAATATGGCTTGGTTTGAGCACGAACAATAGATGCTTCCTGCATCTTCCTGTTTTTCCATCAATAGGGGTGGTCTTAGTGAAACAAGTATGATTTGGAAGTTTTTCCTTGATCTACAGTTTGAAGTCAAGGATATGCGAGGGCATTTGCATTGGTTTGTTGAAGCTTTGGTGATTTGAATCCATTTATAGCATCATGTAACATGTGCTTTTGACGTTTCATGAGTTTGGAACCTCTGATTTACCTTTGTGTGTTTGACTTCAATTTCATCTTATCTTAATGCACAATGCAGGAACTCTCTCGTCATTTGCTCTCACCCTCATGGCTGTGAGTCTTTTGCAGAGGACGTGAGATGGTTGCTGAGTAACTGGACTCTGATTGTTCATAGATGTTCATACCCTCGACAAAATATGCAAGTGGATTTCGGATCGACTTCTTGTTGCAAGGAGTTTTTCCAGGTTCATTTTACAATTTCACAATTTCACAGAGAGGATTTGAGGGTTCCGTGGCAGGAGGGGCCGTCTACCATCACTGCAAGATCTGGCCATCCTCCAGGGTGAGCTGCGGGAGGTGCAGAACGTGGACTGTCGCTTTTGCAGCGATCAAAGGAGCTCTGGCTCTGCGACACGAGACTTAGACAAGGCTTAGACAAGGCTTCTGAAGAGGTGATGATCATAGTCATGATGATCCAATGATGATCATGATTCATGATCTTCATTCGGGCTGAGGCAGGTGTACTATTTTTCAAGGATTTGTGCTTTGGTTCCGTTCAGGATAATCGAGGCTGAGAAGTTGAAGTTGGCTGATGCTGAGTCTGCCGGCACTGCAAATTTGGGCGCCAAATTGCTGGACTTCTTCAATTTTTTTGGTGATGAGTGGCCTGGCGGCAACGTGCTTTTCTTCCTTTGGGAAAAGTATGTGTGCCTTTTGGTAGTTTCAAGGGTCGCAGAAACACGACCAGTCCTTTGAAACGTGAGCACGAGGTACAAGGGCGGTGTGATCAGTGTGCGCAGTGCTGCTGGAAAAGAACCTTCCTGGGCCTCTGGAAAGTTTCTTTTCATCGAAAACCCCTTTGAGCCAGGCGGGAAGATTTCACCAAAAACTTATCTGATTTATCCATTTGAATCGCCTCAGCAGAGCTGATTGATGTGCAGCACTGGCATTCTCTATGGTTTCCTTGAGTTTTGGTGTAGCTTCCCCAGGCAAAGATGTTGCAAATGTCCAGCACTCAGGGCCAAGGTGGGGCACTTCTGGGATGCTAAAAAGGCAGCATCTTTCAACAATGGCCTTCGCAAGTCCTATACATTTTTAAGGAATGTGGCGGCACAAGATCTAAGCTGTGCGACTTCGCGTTACCGTGGTTTAAGTTTTTTTCAAAGACTGAGGTTGAGGTTGGTCAACATCTTCGTGTGCGGGAGGACGGCATTAGTTTGGCGGCCTTTCTTGTGATATATCTTGAGATGGATGTATGGCCTAACTTGAGTCTCTTTGTGTGTTTGGCTAGAAAGCCCTTCACGCAGAAGGTTTAAGGCTGTTTAAGTGTCTGTATACATTTCATTCACATTGAAAACTCAGACTTTAAAGGTACGTTCAGGTTTGACGTTCCCATGGCTGGCAGAGAATCATCGTTTCAATCCCATCCTAGTGCTGCAGGAGTTTCGAAAAGCATACAGCCACTTGCGCAAAGGCAAGTCTGTCGAGGAGGGTTGCCGTTGTGGGGACGATTGTTCAGCTGCAGGTCGATGTCGCAAGCTCTGTGGCAGGAGCTTTGCCGCCGGCCATCCGGGCCATCCATGGAGGATTCTGATGACCATTGGTACCCAGAGGAATGGCAGCAAAAGTGCGTCTGCAATGTGCTGTGTCGACGTGTTGACATGCACTTCAGCTTGTGGTTTTGAGTATGTTGTCATCCAGATGCACTGGCAACTGTAGTGCTGGTAGGATTCCACAAGAATGGTGCTTTACAAAGAAACTCCACAACACGTTGGTCATGCTAATATCCTATGAGGGTTTCTCAGTTTCCAATGCGGAATTTGCTAAGGGTGGAAGTGAAGCTGGCTCCGTATATTCCGTTGGTGGCTTAGAGAAGGAGCTGATCGATGGATTCTGCAACAAGCGTCGGCATCCCTCCTGTGTACCAACTTGTTGGTGTCAGCGACTACAATCTTGGCATGGTCAACATGTTCTTGTTGATCTGTTTGAGATGCAATCATTGCTTGGTATGATAATCCTGCTTTTCAGCAACCCTTCGGATGCCAGCTTTCCTTTGGCCAGGTACGAGCTTTCCAAAGAGACTCGGGAATTTTTCCAAAATCAAGGGAAATTCAAGGCTGGTTTGCAAGCAACTATTTGAACTTGATTTGCTGGCTACAACTTGATTCACCACTTGCGGATTGGACTGATCTATGAGGCCCTTTTGGATTTGGTGTTCTCGCCGCGGGATCCGCAAGTGCGGCGCTTACTTTGTTGGTTTATGCATGTTTCTACCAATTTTAAATTTCACTCAGAAAGAAAGCACTTTCTTAAGTTCTGAAGATTTTCATATGGGCTCTTGATTTGTTGTTCTTCAAGCCAGCTATCCCCCACCAACAGATTGTAAACATGTCACAGTAGTGTCTTTCGAAATCAAGCAGCATGTCCTCCTTGATGCGTATTGAGGAGAGCGATGAAGACCAGGTTGGGCTCTGCCTTTTCGTCATGTGCGCGTGGTATGGTGCTGTTGAGACAGCCTACAAGTGTTCAGCTGATCTGAAAAGCTCACCACTGTCAGGTCGAGTATGAAGAGACCAAAGCAAGATTTGATACCCTCTGCGAAAAAGCGAGTCAAATCTACAAGGCTGAGTTGCATCAGTTGCATCTCCATGTGCCGCGATATCCATCAACGTTTTGAGAGACTCTGCAGTCTGAATCCGGGTCGGCCCTCAACAGACTTCGGCACAGGTTCACGAAGAGCGTGCAGAACAACGAATGCAACTTGGATTGTCCTAACAGCATTCAGAACACTCCAAGCCATGGAGCAAGGACAGAACATGGTCTGTTTTTGTATCTTACAGTATCAGGAAACCCAGTCTCCTTTCAATTGATTGTGTTGTAAGAAAATCCTGAACAGGGCAGCGGGCAGAAGGGTGATAGCTTTAGTCCTCACACTGGGCACTTTACTGCTGAAACCAAAGCTATGATTTGTGTATCCATTTTCTAGCTATGCAAGACAAGCTTAACAGGTAAAGCTTTGTTGCGGCGCTGCAAGAAAGAACCGAAGATTGGATTTTGTGGGGAATGCGGTCAGAAGAGACAAGTTATGTGTTTACTTAGTTACTTGCTGATTTGAATCTACAACAGTACCGGGGTACCGGTCTTCAAATGTCAGTACTGACATGTAGTGACTAAGGTGGCGTGCCATGCAGCAGTTGCCAGAAGACTTGTACAACGAGGTTTCTCGGAGATGGCCAGTGTTTTGCTGTGCTTATGTGCTTCTTGAGACCGCTTTCTTAAACAGTCCTGAGCCTGAGTCACTTCCATATCCGACATCTTGGCCAACGATAGGGCTTGGCAAAAAGTTGAAGACTGAAGTTTGGAGTGCCAGTACTGCCAGTATTCTAGTATATTCTAGTGGTGTTCGTCATGCAAAGTCATGGACAAAGTCATGAAACATCATGGATTTTTCATGAAAAATCTTGTGCCATCAGGCCGTTGCCTCGAAGCCCGAGAAGGTGCCAGAAGAGTTGCTTGGACCTGGAAGTCCCTGGTCTTGGAGTCCTTGGCTCCGGGTTTCGCCAAGCAGGTTGGTGCCAATTACATGCCGTATTTGTGCGTATAAGATCGTATAAGATATTTTTAATATACATTAATTATGATATAATGATATATATATATATTGCTATCATCGTAGTAGCGTTAACATAGCTTTTGGAATTTCCAGGTCAGAACTGACAAAACCTGGTGATCAGAGCATGGCTGGATTTGACTTCATTAACAATACCATCAAAAGTGGTGATCGGAGCATGGCTGGACTTGATCCCATCGAAGTATACATATCGAAATGAATTATCAGATTGTGATACGATTTTAGGTTTTCAATTTGGTTTTACCCCAACATCGTGATCATTTGATGTTTTCAATATGATTTTACCTCAACATTGTGATGCATTTGATCAAGCCGGATTAAATAATGATACGATTTGATGTCAAAAAGATATTTAGCATTTCATCATTTGATGAAAGAACCCTGGGCTACTCCTAACGGGGCTACTCATAAAACTTGCTATCCTTTCCAAAAAACGAGACAATTCCAGGAAAAAAAACATAAAAACATCTAAAAAGTCAAAAAAAAAATTCAAAAATCCAAAAAATAAAAGAAAAACTGGAAAAACGGCAAAAAACGTTAAAAAACACGAGTAAAAGAAAGCGGGAGTGAAGCGGGAGCGAAGCGGGAGCGAAGCGGGAGCGAAGCGGGAGCGAAGCGGCAGGCAAGAAAACCATGGAAAACCGTGAAAAAACGGTGAAATCATCGAATCCGCTTCGTTCCCGCTCCGCTCCCGCTTCGTTCCGGCTCCGTTCCCGCTTCAAGCCCGTGGAGCCTTAACGCTACCATGATCATTTCAATGTCTAGGTGCCAAGGGTTGTTGCCACGGAAAAATCACCAGAAAACACGCATCGTGTATCAAGGTTAATTTACGCACCAAAAAAATCACCAAGTTGTTGCCACCAAAAAATCACCATGAAACCCTAGGAGTGTTAACGCTACCATGATCATTCCAATATATATATATATATAGAATGTATCATTGCTCTGGGTACTTCTTCTTCTTCTTCTTCTCAAACTTTTGAATGAATGATTACTCAAGAGATAAACCTTGTGAAGAAGCGATGACTGTCACCAACTCCTGCATTCGTCCTGTTGTGGCTGGCGATCTGGCTGGTTGAGCATTCTGGGCCAAGGCTTCTCTTCCACAACCGATATCGTGGAGAGATTTTCCGAGTCTTGGTAGCAATTTACGTAGATGCTTCTGCAGCTGATGACCGGTGCCATATTTTGGTTCACTTTCGAATTGAGCCGTGACCAACACCTTTATAGGGGGTTATGCTACCTGGTACATTTGGGATTATCATGATCCATTGCAGAAATCCCTATCGGTCGATTGGAGTGAACGCTTTGCAATTGCGCTTTGCAGCAAAGCTCCCTGACGGTGCACAGGGAGCTTGTCGGAGTACGAAAGGAGGAAGTTGTACGACCCTCAGAGGAGTTATGCTGAAGCGCTGAATCTGAACCTGTGTGTTCTCGTACTCAAGCCTTGCAAGTGGAACATCTTGTGCCCTTCTTGGTTTCAAATTCGGTTTACAGTTGAAACCCAGGGATAACACAGAATGTTGGCCGTTTTGTTCAGGGATGTTGCGGGGAGTCCTGTGGCAAGAGGCACTCATAGTTGTCCCGACTCAAAGTGAAGAAAACAGCATCCTGACTGTTCCTGGCAACCAATGAAAAGGGACAATGTCAACCCCGGATTAATAACCTCATTGGCTGCTGAGCTGCTGATCCTTGGGGGGTACCATTTTTTTGGTAGCAGACGATGACTACTTGGGGTAACTCTCTTACTTAATCAACCAAGTTTTTTTTCGGCTTACTGACCACACATGAGATGCCGAGCTGCAACTGGGTTCAAGCGTTGCTTGCCAGCGCCCTCCATGATGTTGACAGCTATGGCGGTGGAGGACCAATGGTTCTGCTATTGACGCTGCTGACATTTGTTTCATTTTGTTTCGCTGTCAATCTTGATGGCTCCACAGCATGGACAATTCAGATTGTGAGATGGATTTACAATATTTCACAATCAATTTTGATAGTATTCACATTATTCTGATCTCTTCACAAGACTCATCATATTCATGAGATTGGCATAGATCAGCCGTGTAGACAAGGTAATGCACGCCCGTTGTTCGTCTTTTTCCACGCGTCCCTTGGAAATTTGATTTGTCCAGGACGATGACCTCATGAGCCAGGGTTCCAGGTGGGGGAACATGACTGGCGTCCCCCTTCATAGCACCAGGTTGGGAGATGTTGGGAGTATAGGATTTGATGATGTTTACGATGTTTCAGATCCTACTTGTATTTCTGCAAGACCCTCCTGGACACATGTGGGTTCGTGGTACCAGGAAAGGTCAATAGAAGACGTGGATCATTTTACCACTTTCGCCCCCCAGAAGTCTTGCTTCCAATTCTGGTTCAAACTCTCTTACTGCAGTAGAAATCTTATGCTCCCTTGAATCTGAACCTGTGATAACCTCTGGGCCTGCGTATTCACATCTTATGAATCCCAGATATCTTCTATATTCATTTATATCAGAATCATATCCATCCATTGAGTATATTCAAGTCATTCCCCGCTGTCAGGCCCTGGAGCGAAGCCACCTTCGGTGGTGGCACCTCCTTCGAGGTGGCCACGTCCGCCACGCAACCGCCCACAGAGCCGCCCGCGCTGCCGGCGCCGGAACCCTGGCCTTTTGTGCCCAGGCCCAGCACACCTGGCACGCCTGGCACGCCTGGCACGCCTGGCACGCCGACGCTCGGCTGAGTTGGTCGTCTCTACTTTTACGGTGCTGCTCCCTACCTGCCAGGTGAGGGCCTGTAGATTTTATATATTAGAGTTACTTTCCTCCTTCCCTTCCTTCCTTCCTTCCCTCCTTCCGTCCTCCTTCCCCCAACAGCGACCTCTGGCGCTCGCGGTTGAGGCCCGGCAGGGCCCAAGCCAGAGAGAATGTCAGAATGCCAGAATAGATGCCAGAAAGAATGTCAGAACAGATGCCAGATAGAATGCCAGAATAGATGCCAGAAAGAATGTCAGGACAGATGCCAGATAGAATGCCAGATAGAATGCCAGAAAGAATGCCAGAATAGATGCCAGAGAGAATGTCAGAACAGATGCCAGATAGAATGCCAGAAAGAATGTCAGCATATATGCCAGACAGTATGTCAGAATAGATGCCAGATAGAATGCCAGAAAGAATGTCGGAGTATATGCCAGAAAGAATGTCAGAATACATAAATATAATATATACTTCCAGATGGTATGTCAGTCAGAAACTATGGCAGAATAATGTGTCAGGGTGGGGATCACTCGAAGGAAGTATTTTTTGACATGGCTGTTTTTGTTGAAGAATGTAGTTGACCTGTAGCATCATTTGTTGAAGATTTCAGCTCTTCCTTTGTTTTGTTGGCTTTATTCTCTTGTCAAAAGTAGCTGAACATGTCCAGTAAGGCTCCTCTACCAGAGCTGAATCCAAGGCCATCACCAATGTTGGCGCCCGAAGAAGAGCAGCCTGGTTTGCATGGGCGGGTTGGCATGGAGGTGGCAATCGATGGCAATTCGAATGTGAGCGTTTTCATCTCCATTTTGATCAACAAAGCGGTGAGTGCACCTTAGTTCTTGAAACACTTTGTTCCACTGATTGCCTGGAGACCCACACACGCACAATATTCACCTGCTGGCTGCGTTTTGACTCAGGCTAGATGATCTTCAGGTTGGTGTCCTGTCTGAAAGCTTGGTGTTGCATGCCGCTCTTCAATGTACTTGTGAGGTTTCTAGTCGACTCAGTTTCCAGGAAGGTCAGGACTGTGCTTGGGGTCTTTGGGTTTTTCTTTTCCTCCCAGCGCTTCTATTTGGAACTAAACTAGAAGACATGCTGAGGCACTAACTCGAACACACGCTGAGGCACTGGGAAAAGGAAGAAGAAAAGGCTCCGCCTGAAAAAAAGGACGGCTCTGTGGTTGACCTGCAGCTGACCAATGTCCAGATGTAGCCTGCAACTTGAACAATTCTCATATTATGACAAGGACGCCGGAAGCTACTTCGCCGCAAAGCGAAGCTGTGGAAGAAACAAAGGAAAGTCAGGACGCAGCAATGTACAGACAGAATAGAGTGTAATTGGACACCGTGATTGGGATGCCAATGTATGCTAGTTCACCATAATAATTGACCCAAAATTGGCATGTTTCCGTTTGTGATTCTGACCCGAAAACGGGATCCGCTTCATGTTTCCTGTAGTTTCCCGTTTCAAGGAGCAAGAACCGCGACCTGAGATAGACCTCAGATCCATTCTGCAGAGTCAGGTGTGCGCTGTGAGTGACAAGGCTGTGTCCCAAAAACAGGTGTCCTCTAAGAAAACCAAAGGATCTATATAGTTTGGGTAGGTTTCTGGAAAGAACATGATGTGTCGGGTGCCATCAAATTCTTGACATTTTCAAGTTTCTGAAATGAATGGATTCCGCCGCGACAGGTGGCAGAAATTGAAGCCGCAAAGCACAGGTTGGAGGCTGGGAGAGCAAAGATCTTTCTTTGAACTTTGTTAGGAGACCAAATAGTTCAAATTTCAAAAGATCCAAACATCCCAAACTCCTTGGTTCAGTTGATTAAGTTGAGTTCTGCTATCTTCAATGGTTTGAGACCCACTTCTCTGGCGATAGGTGGCTTGCAGAGATGAGTTGGACCGTCTTCAGCATCTGTTACTCGTCCGGTCCAGTAGTGACTTCCATTGACTTCCTGATCCGACCCAGATGGGTCAGTGACGCTTTGATATCACGAGAGAATATATATATAGTTATGATGCCTTCATGCATATTTTTGATATACAGATGTATATATATATATTATTAATAATAATGATAACAATAATTATCATAATAGTAAGCATATATATATATATATATTACTCTAACATATGAGTAGGTTGGTTGGGTAGGGTCTATATGTGATTTGAAAAGATGGGTTGGACTGCTGGATGACTTATGCCAATTTTGGCTCAAGTCATCCAGGCAGCCATCCTATCTTCTCATGGCCTTGTCGCCTGTGGATTGGGCTGCCTGGAAAGACAGGGCTCGCACCTTCTTCCAGGGGCATCCCCGGGTTGAGGTCCGTGAGCTCACCCGGTTGGAGCGCCTCCTGGTGAAGGGAGCCAGGGAAGCGTGGGCGGTCGTCCACTTCCAGGCGGCCGCGAGCCTTCGAAGGCTGGGGGGGCAGCCGTGCTGCCACTGCGGCGAGTGGACTTGCTGCTTCTGCGAGTCTTGCCCTCGCCCTCCTTGCGCTGTGTGTGCGACCGGGAACGCCTCCTGTGCCACAGCTGCCTGGACAGGGGCCTGGTCTATACGGAGGTGGCGCGCCAGGCCGAGGACGACGTGCTGGAGATCTCGGGCTACCACGATGAGGAGGGCCGCTTTGTCACCCTCGACCCGCCGGTCAGGATGGCAACAACATCCATCCCACGGCAATCGGACGGGTCCTTCAACGCCGACGAGCTCATGCGCCTCATTGCCCGCAGCCGGAGGGTTGACGCCGCAGCTGGACCTCGTGCTGCATGATGTCCCCAACGACATCCACCAGGCCGTGATGGAGCTGGGCATCCAATCGGTTGGGGACTTCAGGTACATGTGGTCCTCATCTCAGGATTGCTACAGGGAGCTCGAGCAGAAGACTGGCCGGGCACTTCAAGGGCATGAAGCTATGGCCATTGCAGTGGCCTGGACCAATGCGAGGCGGGCCAGCCTGAAGCAGATTGAGGCCCTTGGCGTGGAGGTGGCTCAGGTCCGGAACTCGAGTGTGGGCGTCCCCACTCGCAGGGCCGAGACTCCAGTGCCGAGCCAGCCAAGTGAGGCATCTGCCAAGGTGCGGCGCCTGGTCCCTTCAGGGGTCCCAGCGGAGCGAGCTCCTATCTTGGTGGCCGCAGCAGCTTCGGATGCCCACGCCAAGGAGGATGCCACCAAGCTGTCGAAGCTGGACCAGCTCTTCCACCTCGTCCTTGACAATGTCCTGAACTTGGAGGAGCTGGGCGTTACTGCAGCCCAGCTGCAAGACCCCATGGAGGTGCAGCGCCTCAAAGATACTACTATGGCGGGTGCTTCAAGGTTGTCCTCTCAGAGGCTGGGAGCTTTAGCTTCGGCGCTACGGCGTTGGCTTCGTTTTTGTGCCGCCCGTGATGTCAACCATCGACAGCCGACCCCCTTGCTCTTGGCTGATTTCCTCCGGGAGGTATCAGCTGGGGGCCCCACGGCGGCGGCCAGCATGCATGCCAGCCTGAAGTGGTATGCAGCCACCTTTGGTGCCCAGTTCCCGATGGACCATTGGGCCACCAAGCACTTCCGCTTCCATGCGGTGCACCACACAGGCCGCCAAGCACCAGAGCTTGAACCTTGGGAGTTCGTGAGCCTCCTCCTGCTGATGAAGAAGTCTCAGGGGACGCACAGGGTGCTGGTGGCCCAGATGTTGATGGCCGCATTGGGGTGCATTCGATTTGAGCACCTCCAACGGTCCAAGTTCGTCACAACCCATGGACCCAGTTTGGAGTTCCAGTGCGCCCAAGGGAAAGCCAGAAAGAAGGGCGCCAGACCTGGATATGCATGGGGCCTTCCGCACGCCACTCTGGATGGTCAAGGAGTCACACAGACCCTCTTGGACTTCTACGCCAACGAGTGCCCGCAGTCGAGTGGCTTCTTGCTCCCCGCGGTGTCCCTGAACCCCGAGGAGTTCTGGGAAGTCACGGAACACACCGGGCTCATAGTGAACAAGCCCATGTCACGAAGCCGCTTCCTCGAGCTCCTGCGGGGCGCCCTCTACCAGATCGGGGTCGAGTTCACCAATGCACAGGCAGCGGGATTTAACCGGCTTCGTCGATTCATCCCGACGATTGCGAACATCCTCGAACTGCCGGATCTTGACCTGCAAGCAGTGGGGAACTGGACGGAGATCCCAGCTGGAGGTGGCCGGGACCCCTCAGCTGGGAAACCCCGGGCCCTGATGTCCATGGGGGTCCACTACGCCGGATCAAAGCTCCTACGATCCTTGCAGGTCAAGCAGCGCTGCGTGAACCGCTTCATGAACCTGTTCCACAAGAAGCGCAGGGAGCTCGCGCTGACAGAGGACGGCATGCTGTGCAGGGATGCTTGGCTGTGGCCCGAGTTTGCAGCAGCGCACAAGCTGATCCCAGAGGATCTGAGCGCCTTTGAAGGAGAGGCCAAAGAGGCCATTGAGGTGGCTCCTGGAGCCCTGCCGGTGGAGGAGGAAGTCCCGGCCGGGTCCGGACTTCCTTCGGCGGAGCGTTCCTCCGACTCTTCCGAAGACCTATCGAGCTCTGCCTCCGATGTCACGGCCGAAGGAGACGACCTTTGTGGGGTACCGGCTGATGAAGATGCGGCTGATGATATTCCATGGTTCGTCCAGGGCAGGAAGACCCACCTTGTTCGAGAGGAGATGGAGGGCCGCCTGACGCCCTGGTGCCGCGACTTTCCATTCGTCCAGGAGCACCAAAGCCGTGGCCGCGGCTGGCTGTGCTGGGACGAGCAGGGCTGCCTTTTGTGAGCGTTGCCTTAGCCGTATGCCCCGAGGACTGTACCAGTCCCTGGCGGAATATAACAGCTGGGCAATTTGACCCGGCCCATGGCAGGAAAATGTGCCGCGGCTGACACTCTTTGAGTGCCGTGTCGCTGGTTACATGCCTTGATTTACCAGGTTTGCCATGACAGGTAGGTTCATGTACCCCTTGGTCGGGTGTCACACGTACTGTCTGGCATGCCCCATTTGCAACTGTTTGTACTTGTTGGAGTTTTGGTTCAAGCCCCCCCTCACGAGGTTTTGAGTGGCTGCCATGACCCGCATTGACGTGCTTCAGGATGACCGAGGTTTGGCTACTTGCTTTCGCGGTGCCAACCTCGAGCAAAGTTGGATCGACAACTACACCAAGTTCCACCAGATCTCTACGCTGGACGACTTCGTCTACATGATCCAGGCCTCCGATTGGGAGAAGTCCCTTGCTGACCACATCGACCAGGTTTCAGCTTTGAAGGGGAACAGAATAGCCCTGGCTCGCTTCAAGAGTGCCTATGAGGCTGGCCATCAGGCCCTGAAACACGCTGCTCAAGCAGCACCAAAGTCAGAAGACTTGGACGAGGCGCTCCCTGACACGACCATCCAGCAGATGAACGTCGACTGGACCAAGAGGTACAACTTGTCCTTCGACTCTGTCCTGGAACCCTCGGAACAGCTGCGCTCCCGGGTCTACAGGGAATTCAGGAAACAATCCATGACGGTGGTGGACATGAAGAAGGTGAAGTCCGTCTTGACCGTCTCACAGCCTCGCGCCAGTGACTCGATTGCCCTCCCCGGAGGACTCCAGCTGCAGCTCGAGAAGGAGGTCTCCGTGAGCCTCCGCAGCGTCACGGAGTACTACTTCGCCCTGCGGGTACTAGCCCACGCTTGGGCTTGGGCAGGAAACTTCCTGGTCTCCCCATCGGCTCAGGGTGACAAGGTTCTCTTCATGGATTTGTCCAGTGCCTTGCACTACTGTGACCGGGCCCTCAAGGACACCATGGAGTACGGGCACGGAAGCCTTTTGTGGTTGCAACGCAACGACCTCCTTACCCGGGGCAAGATGGCGACTTATATTCGCCGTGGCCAACCCGGCCAGTGGGCCTTGGACAATGCCCTCCGTGACACCCATTTGGAGTGGCGATCCCCGGCTATTCAGCCCTTGGTGGAGACCATCGAGACCGGTGCCAGCAAGCGTGCCGCTGAGCCGGAACCTCCAGCCGAGCGGAAGAGGCAGATCAAGGGCGACTCCTTCAAGACCGTCAGCCAGATCAAAGGAGGCCAGAAGATCTGCAAACCTTGGAACGATGGACGTGGTTGCAAAGAGGCCAAATGTACCAGCCTCCATTGCTGCGATGTTCGGCTTGAAGAAGGTGGACCGTGCCTCAGCAAGAAGCACACCCGCCTGGAGCATTACTCTGCCTAGGGACAACAGGGACCGTGTCCCGGGGGGGCCCCACGATGGCATCAGCTGCAGAGTTACCTGCCCCATCGCGGCGGGTCGCCCTACCTCAGGCCCCTCAGCCTGTGCCTGGCCCACAGGATCCGCCACCAGGCCCTCACCTGCGTCAGGTGTTGGTGTGCCATGGCGAAGACGCCCAGACTGAAGGCGATCTGGCGTCGAGACTTAGGGCTTCCAAGCCAGTGACATGGCGAGGGCGGGGCGATTTAGCTCAGGTTCCATGGGCTCCCACGGTCCGGGGTACATGGTTGGTGCTGGACCTCTGGGCGGGTTTCTCCGGCTTGTGCATCGCCCTCCTCCAAATGGGGCTGCATTTTTATGGAGTGGCAGCGGAGTGCGATGAGATCGCGTGTTATGTGGCCAGCACTAACATGCCCAACCTGGTCCACGTGCCGCGGGTTGAACACCTGGCCGCTGCTCAGTTCGTCCCCTTGTTGAGGCGGAGGGCTTTCCGTGGTGTCATTATGGGCGGTGGTAGCCCTTGCCAGGGTAACTCCTCCCTGAACATGAGCCGCCGTGGGCTGGCCGACCCCCGCAGCCAGCAGCCGCTGGAGTTGCAGAGACTCCGCCATGAGTTCTCTATGCTCCCTGAGATGCAAGGCGTGGAGTTGATTGTCTTTTTGGAGAATGTGGGCAGTATGCCGCAACCAGTGCGCGACAGCTACAACGAATGGCTTCAAGCAGAACCCATCATGATTGATGCAGCTGCCTGTGGATGGGTACGCCGCCATCGCCTTTATTGGTTGGCAGGCCGTGCTGGTGCAGCAACTCCATCACTGACTGCCCCCCCCGGTTGGGACTGGGTGCCCGCCGAGGGGAGCGTCCCTGAGTTGCGATACAGTGGCGACAAACCTCTGCCTAACAAGTGCTTCTTTGGCCATGGGTTCCAGCCGATGATGAACGCCAAAGAGGTGGTAGCTCAAGGAGGTCGTGGTGCCATGCATCCATTCACCAGAGAGTTTTACCACCTGGCCGATCGTACCGCCAGCTCATCTGCTGCGGCTGTTGAGCGGTTCATGGAGGACAACCGGCGCTTCCCTCCTTCGGCCTACGAAGAAGCCTCCCTGGTTTGGCGAGATGCGGAATGGCGACAGCCGACCCCACATGAACGAGCGCAACTCATGGGATTGCCTCCAGAAAGCTTCGATTGTGTGCCGGGTGAACCAGCTTTGCGGCGCCAACGCCAGAACAGTTTGATCGGCAATGGGTTCCACCTGTTTTCCGTCATGGCCGTGTTTTGCCTGCTGCCCCATCTCTTGGAAGCCAAGTTCCAACATCCCATGGTGGACGTGGAAGAGATCGGCCTCAAGTCCAGACTCCTCCACACGGTCTGGGAGCCCGGCAGGTTGGACCATTTCCCGGGGTTGTCCGACTCTCCACACATTACGGGCCAACTGGCAGCGCTCTTCCCGGACTGCGTCTTTACACCGCAGCTGATGGCCGATGTCCAGAGACGCCTGTCCCACTGTGACCTTCATGTTCTCCAAAGCTACGTGGCCTGGTGCCGCCTTCGAGGTATGCCTACGGATGACCTGGGCCCACAGCCGTTGGGGCGCCACGAACGCGCACGGATCTACAGTGGACTTTCAGGCCAACGCCATCCCACTGATTCTGCCCGTGGCTTGGACCACTTGTTGCCGCCGGGTCTTGGGAAACTGGGGCACATGGCCGCATCCTCACGGCTTCCTTCACCTTTCCAAGCCACAGAGTGGCCTGAGCATGATGTGGTCTTCACCATCGAGGCCATATGTGTGTGGCGCCAATTTCTGCCGGCATTCTCGGCCAAGCTGCGCCGTACCCTCCGATCGGTAGCCCAAGCGGTTCAACCGCTGGAAGATGCTTTGGATTCCTGGCGTGTGGAGAGTGCTCACCGGGTGGCCTCTACCAAACGTCCAGGCTTTGTGGCCGTGATGACTATCATGTTAAGATGGCCAGACCGCCTGCAAGCTCAATGCCTTGTTCGCGGCTACCCCATCGTGGGACAGATCTCCCAGACCGGGATCTTCCGGCCCGTGGCTCCTCGGGAAGTTGACCCGCTAGCCAAATGGCTGGAGCACGCTGATGAGGTCGTAGAAACTTTGGTTCATTCCAAACCACCCCGACACGCTGATGACATCCTCGAACAGACGCTTGCGGAACAAGCCAAGGGCTTCTGCTCCCCGCTGATGTCGCGCTCAGCTGTGGATGCCCTTTTTGGACGGGGCCAATGGCGACCGCTGGAGCGGTTCCAAATCGTGCAAGCCGACAACAAGCGGCGCATGATCGACAACGCCCGCCGCACCCAGCATAACAGCCATGAATCAATGTCTGAGACGATTTTCACTGTCAGCATTGACTTTGTTGCTGCGGTTGCTGCCTCTATTGCCCGACGCGTTGGTTCTGATCAGGCAGCTTGTGGCGCTGAGATCCCTTGGCTGCGCCTTCGCATCGGGACCGATGATCTCCCTGATGCATACAGAGGCCTTCCAGTTCTTCCTGAACATCAGCGTTTCTCTGTGGTGGCAATCTTCGTGCCCAACACCGGCTGGCGATTCACATTGCTCTGGGGACTAGCATTTGGCCTTGAAAGTGCAGTTGTGGCCTTCAACCGCTTTCCCCAGCTGGGTATTGCCATCTCTAGGCGTTGTACCCTGGCCCTCACTGCTGCTTACTTTGACGATGAGCTAGCAGTTGAGGCCCTTGCCGATGCCGACGTTTCCCAAGCTGGCCTACGCCTGACCTTCAAATTGATGGGAGCTCCTCCACAACCTGAGAAGGGGTTTGTGCCCGCTGCCAATCGGCATTACCTTGGCACGTCCCTCCATACGGGTGACTTCATGTCTCTTGGGTTTGTCCGGGTACAACCCAAGTATTCTACCTTGGCCAAAGTCGATGCCAAATTGGAGTCTATCCTCCACGAGGGCACCCTTAGCCGCGATGATGCTGGCAAGCTCCGAGGCGACATCAATTGGCTTTTCACACTGTGCATGGGCCACCTTGGCAAGATTGCCGGACCGGCTTTGACCAACCACCAACATAAGGACGCCACAGCCTTGACGCCGGTGGAACGCCTTCAACTCCAGGCTCTACATGTTGCAGTTCGTGATTTTCGACCCCGAGACATCCCTGTCCTCCAGGATTCAGAACCGTTGATCCGCATTTATTCGGATGCTTCCTTCGAATCTGACGTGCTACGTCTGGGCTGGGTCATCTTTCCCAGCAATGGCCGGCCTTTGGGTGGTACGACGGTCGTCCCCCACTGGGTCATCCAAACGTGGCAGCAACGTCAACAGCAAATCTATCCTGGAGAGACTCTTGCCGCTGTCATCGTACCTATCCTGGAAGCAGCCTCCTTGCTCTCCAAGTCCGTCATTTGGTTCATTGATAATGAGGCCGCTGCTGCCGCGTTGATCCGGGCTTCCACATCCGAACCGGATGTCTTGACCCTGGTGCAACAAGCGCACCTTCAATTTTCCCGTTTGCAGACTAGGATTTGGTTTGAATGGATAGACACAGAGTCTAATCCAGCTGACGGCCTCAGCCGTGACGGCAC